TTAGGAAATGAATACATTTTGGCACTAATGATGGACATTGGACCTTTTTTTTTGATAAAACAATTAGGCTAAAGTTTAACTAGTTTCCGTCTAATTAACTTCTTAACAAATGAGGTGTGACAGTTTTTTTTAAAAGTGGGTTTTGATTTGATATTACATTTTTACCTCTTTACGTTAAAGAAAACAAAATAACAATGAGTCATCTTGGCATTACTTTTTTGGGGGGAAATTAGCATGATGGTGCCACACCAAATCAGGTTTTCATATATAATAGTATTATGTATATACATTATATTATATGTTAAATATATAATAATCATTTTATTTTTTCTTAATTAAGTCTCTCTCTCTCCTGTATAACATTATAAGTTTCTGCTATATCTTGTATATTTGTACAGGGGTTTGATGTTGAAGCTTTCCCCCATTGTTCCATTTGTATTATAAGACCTTTGGGGAAATTAGACAAGAGACTTCATAAGAAGCTTGAATGCTATTCAAAGAGGGCACTTGCCGAATTCAACTTGAAAAATGTATGTGGAGTTGTGTTTTTGTTTTTTTAATTGTTATCACTCTTATTTACTCCTATTGAACTTTTCTTCTTAAAATGCAGAGTACAAATTTCCAGTTTGTGAAGGTCCACAAGGCAAATGCACGGGTGGTCAGTGGCCTGGTGTATTATATTACGTTTGTTGCCAAGGATCCTGCTGCTACTGAATTTGAGATCTTCCAAGTTTCTTTGCATGCTCCTATCGGTGCAGACATAAAGATCCACCTTTGTCAGATTAAACCAAAGGCTTAGGCCCCGTTTGAGGACATGGACAACTGTAATTCACTCCACGTAAGCACATAAACACATAAGCACTTACGAATTTCATTTCCGGATAATGATAGTCCCGAGGCGTTACTAGAGTTCCGGTTAGAAACAGCATTGATCAAGTGCCTTTCCAACAAGACTCACAGAAACCCAAGGATCCAATCAACATCCTAGAAATTAAATCCCCTACCCACATAGTCACATAAGCATGTTATCAATTAAGCACATAGCATATGACACTACATCTTAGTCTCTATCAAGCGAGACAAACCCATTATGATCCTAATCACTTCCCAATGACCAAACGACCAAACTACCTATGGATTCATGAAATTTGAAATTAAATCATAAAATCTTATAACCAAATCAGAATGAACCAATAAAATAAAGTTTGATCCGGTTTGGAATCACATTTTTCACAACATAATTACAAAATATTACTCACAATTTATTTGAATATATATGTTGGCATTTTGCAGACAAAAATATTTTAGATGATTGTTTAGAATTAATTCAACTACTATACAAAATCACACTTGTAAACATATAGGATTAACAATTTATGTACGAAAATGTAATACTAATCAAGTGAGTGTACATAGTAAATAACAAATTATATATATATACATATATATATATATATATATACATATATAAACGGATCAATTCAGTTCCAAATCATAATCGTAACTATAAAATTATGGACCAAATCATGAAGTATGGTTCGTAAATTTTAAAAATTAAGACCAAATCATGTATTAACAAAATAAATCAAACCATGCGGTTTAGTTTAAGATTGAACATTACTTAGTATTCACTGAACAAATCTAATTTTAAATTAATTTTGAGTTATACAATACTCAGTTATTTTACTTAGAAAGTTGTCTCTTGTTACAAGAAGTGACAAGTAGATTAGTAACAAATAGTAAATATATAAAAATTGTAAATATAATGAAATATTAAGTGGTAAATAAAGTCACAACGCATGGTAAATAGAATCAAAACGAATGATAAGTATTGTGCTTATAAATGGTAAATACATAATGATATTTTACTTATTACTCAATTAGACCTTAGTTACTCCTCAATAAGACTCTACTTACTATTCGTTCATACTCTATTTACTATTCCATCAAACTTGACTTATGATTCAATCAAATATGATTACTACTCAATAAGATCTAGTCACTATTGATTAGTAAAAGTAGAATAAAAACAAATTTTAGGTAGTCACAATAACTGAAAAATAAAAAATTAGAAATATTAATTTTAAATTATTAAACAAAATGTAAAAGTTCATTAGACTTCATTTAGTACTTGAAAAAAAATACCACTTCATTTGACTTGACTTACTATACAAAAAAAATTATCCCACGTTATTCAGCGGAGTCGGGGACACATTTTTGTGTGGATGTGGCAATTCCAATAATTTATTAGACTTAACTTGGTACTTATTAAGACATCATTTCATTTGACTTGATTTACTACTCAATTAAATTTCACTTACTACTTAATGAGGCTACTTACTATTTCATTAGACTTTGCTTACTATTTAATAAAACCCCGTTTACTAGTCCATCAAACTTGAGTAGTAAGTTTCAAATGAGTAGTAAGTTGTTTCATAATAAGTAGTAAGTTCAAAACGAGTGGCAAGTATAATAAAAAAGTATGGTAAATAGAATCAAAACGTATGATAAGTATTGTGTTTATAAATGGTAAGTACTCGGTCATCTAATGGACGAGCTCCATTTTTTTTTTATCTCTTTCAATTTCAGTCTCTTCCTATTTCATTAAATTGCACTTACTACTATATTAGATTTCATTTACTACTTCATTACTTTTGGCTTATCATTTCATTCAACCATACTTACTAGTCGATGAAACTACACTTACCACTTTTTTACACTTTACTTACCATTCAAATAAACTCTACTTACTACCATTTCATTAGACTTGACTATCACTGAAATAAACCTCACTTACTACATTTTTAGACTTGATTTACCACCACTACAACAAAATTGAATTTTTATGGCTTGCAATGCATGCCGTAAAAACTGTTTCATGGTATGCACACAAATGTCGTTAGCCCTAGAAAGTTGATCTTCGTTTACAACATGCGGGTAAAGTTGTAAAAAATAATAAATTAAACATTAATGATATACTTTGTATGTCGTATATAATTTTTTAAAACATTTTTTTATGCCATAAATCATTATACTTTTTATGGCATAATTTTGAATGCCGTAAAAGATTATTTTTAATATATTTATAGCATATTATGTATGCTGTATATAATCTTTTACGATATTTTTTTGCATATCATAAATCATTATACTTTTCACGACATAATTTTGTATGCCTTAGAATGTTATTTTTAATATATTTCTAACATACTTTGTATGTCATATATAATCTTTTACGACATTTTCTTGCATGTCATAAATCATTACACTTTTCACGACATAATTTTATATGTTGTAGAAGATTATTTTTAATATTATATATATATATATATATAGAGAGAGAGAGAGAGAGGAAAAGCAAATTCAAAGTTCATTATACGAGTAAACTCAATGTATGAATACTTGAAAAGCAAATTAAGATCATATAGCAAATTATATGTACAAATGAAAGTAAAAAGATTATACACAACACAAGCCAGTCAAGTCTAATTCATTATTAGGAATAGTAGAGAGAGCTAAAGAATCAATTAACTTGGCCACTACAGAAAGGCCCTGCCCTAATACCAATGGTAGGGATTCAAAGAGCAGATGTTGTTGCAACAGCAACAAGTGCAAGCACACATTCCAGAACAACAGAAAAGCACCCAGCTTTCTTGCAAAGCCAGGGCAAACTCAACAACCTGCAGAAACCAAGCCAATTTAGCATCATAACACTAAAATAAATTATGCAGATTTGTGTGTGAGCATATTTGATAATATATGAAATTATGAGGTATTTATGTTTTTTTTTTATCAGCAAAAATTATTAAGTATTTATGTCATGTATGCACAATAAGTAGGGAGAGATTTTGACCTTGACAACACCATCAATGCTCTTTCCTTAAGGCCTAAATCCTCCAAGAACACTGATGGCTTGAGGAGTAAGCCCTACATGTCCTATCACTACAATTCTAGCCTCCACAATAGTTTTAGCTATAGTGATTCCTATTTTATTTGGGTTGTAAGCCTATATAAATAAGATGTTTTGGCATTGTATTCGATAGAGTTGTGGCCTTGTGAACATGCAAGACTCTGACCTTTCACAAAAAATGGCTTGGGCAAAAAGCTAACAGTTGACAACTCTTTTGTTCTAAACTTCAGAACAGAGATATACAAAGATTTTTGGCAAAAGGTGGGTCAATTTGGATGTACATCACTGACACTCACACTAAAACCTTGTGAAACTATTTTTTCATGTTGATTCTAGGTGAAAATTTCAAAAACCTGCATTTTTCTTAATTTTTTTATTTTTGGAAAAAGACTTTCACCTAAACCTCTAGAAGCAATTTTCCACTTTCTATGAAATTCAAACAGCATAGCCACAAGACTATCTTCTTCTCTTCATCTTAGTTAGATCACCAATTATCTCAAAAGCTTAAAGCCTATATCAAGCTATCTTATAGTCCCTCACGTGTGACCATGTCTTGTAAGTGGTGAGACACATAGATAATCCACAAACAGAATTAAATAGGTGTACAAACATAACACAGGAAAACAAAAGAATAACCTAGGGCCTCTTAAAATCACAAAGTTTTGATACCTTGTTAGATCACTTATTGTTCTAAAAGCTTATGCTATTATTAGTAAATTTGTCAAACAAACCAAGTATTCATTGAAGTGTTTTAGCTTTTCATTAAAGTGGATAGGTGAGGTTGTTCAACCATAATTTGATTCAATTTACACTTCTTTTATGCCTCGACAATATCTTCTACTCCAATTTTTTTTTTTTTTTCGCATAGAAAACAGTAGGTTAAAATAGAATTCAGCATAGTAGTAAAACAAAACATGACCTAGTTCGACATTTATATAAAATTCATTTATTGGATTCTAGAAATTTTACACAATATACTAGACTCATGAAGGGATTGCCTGCTAAAATTTCATGAAATTACAAGGTAGAGAATTATTTTTAAAAATGAAAATGCTTCAGAGCACTAATTTTGGTGCTCTAATGGAGCACTAATGACATGGCAAGGAGAAAAAAAAAACAAAAAACAAACCAAGACCAAAACATCACATCACAGTGGGTGGCTGTGAAGCCCACTGCCAGCTCATTAGAGCTGGCTTTAGAGCTCAAGATTTAGAGCTCCAAAGCATTTTTCTTTTAAAAATTCATTGAAGTCAGGCCTCTGCCCAATTTCAATTCTACATAATCATGAAAACTCACTCCCAAAATAGCTATGATTTTGCTTTTCTAAAGCCTCTTTTCATTCCATCTTGTAAACAAGATTTAAACAACATAAAAGATCAATAAATTCATGTCTGAAACAATTTGACAACAAATTTAAAATTGAATTGAAAAATCATAGGAATCTCGACAAGGAACATCAAATTCAACATCAATTCACTCTACTAAACCACCGAAAAATCATAGGAATCTCAAAATGCAAGCGAAAATCAACAAGTAAGAATCCGAAAACAAGAGCTAGAGAGAGAGAGAGAGAAGGTACCGTGAAAACGTTCTTCGAAGAAGACTTCGGCTGAAGCAATCACGATGAGAGAACCTGAATATATAATTGCTGAGGTTAGGTTGAGCAAAATAGCCTATGTAAGCTGCTCTATTGCTTCCTCAAGTTTCCCTAATCAACCTAAAGCCATCAAAATCAAATTATGAAAACTTGTGTTTACAATATATACATGTGTGCGTATGTACATGTAATGAAATTAGAATACTTTCAGAAATTGCTTCCATAGCCTGCGCCTTAGCCTCCTGCGAAGCATCACGATTTTCTTCCGTGACCTCGATAGAAGAGTCTCTCCTCTGCAAAATTCAGCATTAATAAGATAATACATGTTACAAAATATCAAAATTCTGAATCAAGCTACTCAAAAAATTTAGAACATAAGACTTTTGCAATCAAACTCATAAAATTCAGAACGTTCTATTGATTGATAGACCTAAGCCCTAAACCTTCATATGTTTGGTTGATCATTCTTGCTTCTTAATCCTCACACACCCACATAGATTACAAATAAAGGAATTGGAAATTCTAGACTATCAATTTTGGTTTCACGCATTTTCCTACATATTTTGAGCAACCAAACAAATTAAATACGAACGAAGATGGTTATAGAAGTACCGATATGTTACGAGGAGATTCTCTAGGCTTGTAAGCAGATGGAGGAAGCTTACGGCCAAGGCTGAAACATATTAAATCGAAATAAAAAACATAAGAAAAGCAAATTCAATAGGAAAAGTATAAATACATAAAAGTGAATTATATCATACCTTTCGAGGCAGTTTAGAAGAAGGAGACAGAAGGACCAGAGAGGATTGATGGATTGGACTTGCAATCATTGATGAATTGCTTCAACTGGTTCAAGTTCGCGATCAGAGAAGAGATTACAGAGAGATCGAATCGTTCGATACAGAGAAGTGTAAAGATCAGTTAGGGTTTGAGATTAATTGATTGAGATTGCATTTGGCTTCGTAGTCTACATTTCCATGGCTCTCACTAAGCCTTAACTTCAAATAAAATGATGAATTCGAAGCGTTTGGGGAAAAAATGATTGAGAGATAGAGAGAAAATTGATCGATTTGGAGAGAAAATAAATGACATACATTGTGAAGTGATGCGAAGTCGCGCGATCGATCAAGGAAATGCTTGAAGAACATACCTCAAACAGACTAGAACAAAGAGAACTAGAGAGCTGGCACGCAGAGAGAGAGAGAGAGAATTTGGGGCAAAAATATGTATAGATAGAATGAGAGAGAGAGTGGTGAACGGGGCCTTAAAATAATGTTTTTAAGTTTTTTTGTTTTAATTATTGTAAGTTTTTAAAGTTTAAATAACTTTTTTTTTTTTTTACTTTTTAAATTCAAATAATGTACATATACTTAGAAGGAAAATATTTTTTTTATTCTCTAAAAAAATCACTAAATTCAAAAAAATATAAAATTTAATACATTTTATATTTGGAAAAATCAGATTCAATTTTTTTTAATAAAAGTTTTCATGACATGCTAATGCATGCCGTGTAAAGTTATAATATTTTACGACATAAAATGTATGTTTTCTTAAGTGCAAATATTTTATGACATATTTTTGTATATCGTAAAAATATTCATTTTTTACGGCATACTTTTGCATGCCATAAAGAAATCGGATTACTTTTTATTATTTTTTATTATTTTTTTTTAAGTTTTCATGACATGTTAATGCATGCCATGTAAAGTTATAATATTTTACAACATGAAATGTATGTCGTCTTAAGTGCAAATATTTTACAACATATTTTTGTAAGTCATGAAAATATACATTTTTTACGACATACGTTTGTATGTTATAAATATATGAATTAACGACTTACATGGTATGTATGTCGTTATTGAAAAAATATTAACGACTTGCACAGAAAAAATGTCATAGAATGTACTAATTACGACATGTATTTGATGTATGCCGTAAACTTGATGTCGTAAATAGTTAGTGCACTCAAATAAACCTTACTTACTACCATTCAAATAGACTCCATTTACTACGTCATTATTCTTGGCTTACCATTTCATTCAACCATACTTACTAGTTGATGAGACTCCATTTACCACTTTTTTACACTCTACTTACCATTCAAATAAACCTTAAAGGATTGGTGTGTTAAGGGGTAATTCTGTTTCTTTGTGTGTGTTTTGTAATTTTGAGCTTGAAAACCTTAATCATATTCTGTTGCTATGCCCCTTTGCTTGGAAGATATGGTCGGCTGTAATTGATTAATGGGGATCTCAATGGATTTCACCGGCCTCTGTCAATGAGTTGCTTTATTGGTGGTTTGGTTTCAAGTTCAGGAAGTAGGAACTTAGGATCTGGAATGCCATTCCTATTACACTGTTATGGTCATTATAGAGGTACATAAATGAATGTCTATTTGGGGGAGCTCAACCAAATATGAAGGCTTTAGCTGAATTAATTAAAGACAGAGTGACTTACTGGGTTAAGAACCATCACATTGGCAGCATGTATTCATTTCATGATTTCATCTCCAATTTGGGTCTAATCCGTAGTTGCCTCTAAGGTGGTGGTGCTGGTGAGTTCTGTTTTGGTTTGTGTCCTGTTGTTGGCATATGTTCTGTTTTGGTGAGCTACTGTGTACCAGGTTGTAGAGGTTCAATGGTGTGTACTGAGATTGTGAGGTGTTTCTAGAGAGGTGTTAGTGCTGCTGCTGTCTTGCTGGTTTTGGTTGGGTGTTTCTATGTGAATTGATATTACTGTAGTTGGCTTACTAGGTTCAGTACCATCATATTGGTAGCATGTTGGAATGATCTTTGTTTGTTGCTATGGCTGGAGTTGGTGTAATAGGCTTAGAACCATCTCATTGGAAGCAGGTATTCATTTCTTGTTTTCATCTCCAATTTGGGTCTGATCCAGAGTTGACCCTGAAGTAGTGGAGTTGGGTAGTTCTGTTGGGTTTGTATCTGGCTGCTGGCAGTTGTTCTGTTTTTGGTGAGCTAATGTGTATAAGGTTGAGGTGGTTTTGTTGGTGTGTACTAAGGTTATGAGGTGATGTGTAGAGTTTTTTATTGGTACTGTGATATTGTTGAGTCGTTGTTGTGAGGCTGCTGTGATGTTGCTGTTATGATGCTGAGATGCTGCTGTGTTGTTGATTGATGTTTGCTGGTGTTGTTGCTGTTTGTAAGGGTGCAGGACTTTTTGTCCAACCTACAACAGATTAGGTATTCATTAATGGGTTTTGTCACTAAGTGTAATTTTGGGCAACTGCTGGTGTTTTGGCTGGAAGGGCATGGAGGGGGTATTTTTTGTGCTGCTCATCTGATAGAGGGCATAAGGCAACAGGGGGCAGTTCATCTGGTTTGTTTCTGCAGGAGTTTGGTGGTGTATTGGCTATAAGTTGTTGGAGCAGTTTGCTGGGGGAGGAGTTGGCAATTTGGAAGGTTTCTTTTGCTGTGTGGTTGGTTGGTTTTTATTTATGTGTTTCAGTTTTGTTTCTCTTTTTTGGATTGGTTTCTCGCCAATCTGTGGGTTTAGTGCCAGTAAATGATTGCGTTTCTTCCTTGGTGCCAACCTAGTTTGGATTGTAGAGTGATAGCTATGATATTTTTTGCACTTCCCTCATTTATTAATGTAAATTGTTTTTTGTATCTGATCATTCCATCAATAAAGTTTCCCTTTTCTTTGCTGATCAAAAAAAATAAACCTCACTTACTACCTCTTTAGTAGACTTGACTATCACTTAAATAAACCCTATTTACCACACCTTTAAACTTGATTTACCACTCAAATAACTTAACTACTATTCAAATAGATTCCACTTACTTTCATTATTTTTGACTTACCATTTTATTCAATCATACATACTAATCGATGAGACTCCACTTACCACTGTTTTAAACTTCACTTACTATTCAAATAAACCTCACTTACTATCATTTCATTGGACTTCACTACTACTCAAATAAACTCACTTATCATTTCATTAGATTTGACTATTAAACTTGATTACTGACAATGATTAAACATGACACTCATAGAATTCACATGTAACTATTAACAATGATTAAAATAATACTAATAGATCACATGTGACAACCTTATTTAATATATGTATACATCACACTTCACTACAAGCCTAACTAGTGAAAATGCCTAACGAAAATCTAAAAATATTACATCATCGAGCTCTACATTTAGTCTTGGTAGCGATGATGATTTTCAAAACTTCCAACAATAGATTCCTATACTGATCCATTAGGAAAAAATGGTATGGAACCAAACGTCACTTCCACAATAAACCTCTTTTCATACATGATCCATGCAATCGAATGTGGATCACGTAATTGTTGGTAATGCATACGATCGACCACTACACGGGGTCAATGTTGACAAGAAAAACTTGAAATGGCAAGAGCACTTCAAAAAATGTTGTGAACTTGAGATATATTGTCAATGGTATGGGCTACTCAATTAAATTCTACTTATTAGTCAATAATCTTCCACTTATTATTTCATTACACTTATTACTTAATGAGTTTTCACTTACTTCATTAGACTTTACTTCATACTCAATTGAATTTCACTTACTACTCAATAATCTTCCACTTACTATTTCATTACATTTCACTTACTACTTAATGAGTTTTTACTTACTATTTCATTAGAATTCACTTATTATTCAATGAGTTTTTGTTTACTACTTTGTTAAACTTTAGTTACTACTCAAACAAATTCCACTTACTGCATCGCTAGACTTGACTTACTACTTACTATTTCATGATAAGTAGACTTGAGTTATTACTTAATGAGATTTCACTTATAATTTGATTAGACTTCATTTACTACTCAATTAAACCCTACTTATTATTTAAAGAGTTTCTAGTTACTATTGCATAAGAATTCACTTACTATTCAATTAGCTTTTAGTTACTACTTCATTCGATTTTACTTACTACTCAATTAAACTCGACTTACTATTTAATGAATATTTACTTAATTTTCCATTGAACTTTAGTTATTACTCAATGAATCTTCACTTACTACTTAATCAAACTTTACTTACTAATTAAACATGACTTACTAATCAATAAGACACCACTTTAATAGATTTAAGCTACTAGTCATTGAAATTATACTTATTATTTCATTAAACTTGACTTAAAATTTTAAATGGTAAATTACACTAACGATCCCTATAGTTTGGGGCTTGTGTCACTTTAGTTCTTGGCTTTTTAATTGTGACACATTTGACCCTAAATTTTCAATCTTGTTCCAAATAAAGACAATTGAATACATTATTGCTTAATTTCAAGGGTAAAATTGTCAATTTGATAAAATATAAACTAATTTGATAAAAATAAATGTCAAAAAATATTTTTGAATATTTAAAAATTATTTCTACCCACTAAAAATAAAATTATGTAAAATTGATAAATCTTTTAGAAATTTATTTATATCAAATTAATTTTTGTTATGTGTTTAGATGATGATCATATAATGAGTAGTTTTTATTTTCATTAAATTAGTTTCTATTTTTTCAAATATCAAATATGGCGATAACTTTAATATTATTAGTAAACCAATGCATTAAATCAAAAAGTCCAAAACTAAAAACATTTCATATATTAAATATATCGATTACACATTATAATCTTAACAATCACCCATTACATGGTCATCATCCAACCACATAATAAAAATTAATTTTGTAAAATAAATAAATAAATAAATGTCTAAAAAATTTATCAATTTTACATAATTTTATCTTTGATGGGTAGAAATAATTTTTAAAAATTTTAAAATATTTTTTTGGTTCTTAACTTTTCAATTGTGACATGTTTAACTCTAAATTTTGAATCTTATTTCAAATAAGGACAATTAAAGATACTATTGCTTAATTTCAAAGGTAAAATCTTCAATTTAATAAAATATAAACTAACTTAACAAAAATAAATGTCAAAAAAAATATTTTAAAATTTTTAAAAATTATTTCTAATAAATCTCACGAAAAATTATATGATCATCATCTAATAAAATTATATGATCATCATCTAATAAATGTCATTTATTTTACATAAAATATAAACTAACTTAACAAAAATAAAATATTTAATAAAATATTGAAGATTTTGCTTAACTTTACATGATCATCATCTAAACACATAATAAAAATTAATTTGATATAAATAAATAAATAAATGTCTAAAAGATTTATCAATTTTATATAATTTTATCTTTAGTGGGTAGAAATAATTTTTAAATATTCAAAAATATTTTTTGACATTTATTTTTATCAATTAGGTTATATTTTATCAAATTGATAATTTTGTCCTTGAAATTAAGCAACAATATATTCAATTATCCTTATTTGGAACAATATTCAAAATTCAGGGTCAAATGTGTCACAATTGAAAAGTCATGGACTAATGTGACATAAACCCCTAACTATAGGGACTGTTAGTGTAATTTGCCATATTTTAAAACTCCAGGCTGTGTTTGATATAGCTTTTGAATCATGATTCTATCTTTTAGTTTGAGCGCGGTGTTTGTTTACAGTTTTCAAAAATCATTTCCACACCCGCATTTGAAAATTCGTGTCCAGTCATCCCCCGGACGTTCGGCCGGTTGATCGCTACAGTATTCGTGGGCGAAATTTTTTTTTTTTTTTTTTTTTTTTGCACCTGTTATTTTTATATTTTAAATAAAAAATATTTTCGAAATATTTTAAATTTTTTATGAGTTTTGAATAGAATTTTGCATTGTATGGTTATGAGTTGTAAGTTTTTGTATCAAAAATTATGTCGCATCACTTAATTCAAAAACTCTTTTTAAAACTCATTTACCAAATAAATTTTCTACACTCAAATCATAATTTCAAAACTCACAAACTCAAAATACAACTCATATTCTCAAATCATATTTATAGAAAACTCTACCAAACGTTACTTCACTTTTTCTTTAACTAAGTGAAATGATTTTCCAACAAAATCTTAAAATTTATAAATTAAAATATCGCACAATGTTAAAATAAAAGAGAGATAGAGAAATAGATAAATTATTATCTGAAAATTGTCTTTAATTTGTAAAATCTAAATCTCCCTCTTTCATTTATTCTTTGTGAACACTACAACAAAACTAACTATTTATGACATTATGTTTACGGCATACATTAAATGCATGTCGTAATTAGTACATTCTATGATATATTTTTTTTTTACAAGCCGTTAATGTTTTGTCAATAACAGTATACATACCATGTAAGTTGTTAATTCATATATTTATGGCATACAAAAGTATGCTGTAAAAAATGTATGTTTTCACGACTTACAAAAATATGTCGTAAAATATTTACATTTAAGACGACATATATTAATGTTATAAAATATTATAACTTTACACGACATGTTAATGAATGTCGTGAAAACTTCTATAAAAAAAAATTTCAATCCAATTTTTTTATGACATGCAAAAGTATGTCGTAAAAAATATATATTTTCACGGCATACAAAAATATGTTATAAAATATTTGTGCCTAAGACAACATATATTTCATGTCGTAAAATATTAAATTATATATATTTTTTAAATTTATTATTTTTTAAAAAAATTAAAAAATATTTTCCTTCTAAAGTATATGTAAATTATTTGAATTTAAAAAGTAATAAAAAAAATTACATCTTGGCTTTAGAAACAGATCAAACCATAATTTTGTAATAGTAAAATCGACCGTAAGAATCCAAGGGTGTTTGGAACGATTTTCAATCTATAATTCTATCCACATTCTAAGATGATGTTTGGATAGGATGTTCAAATTATATTTTCACAACATTTAAAAAACTTTACAGAAAACTTTGTGTGAGGCGCAATTAAATTTTTTTTTTTATTTATAAATTTGGCCTAACCGATCGTCCCACCGGACGTCCCATTAGTCGTTCGGTTGGTTGACCGTAACAGTGCAAATTTTTTTTTTTACAATTGACACATGTTAATTTTTATATATTCAAAAAAAATATTTTTTGAAATTTTTAAAAAATTTTGTGAGTTTTAATAGAATTTTGAGTTGTATGTTTGGTTATGAATTGTAAGTTTTTTTATTAAATATCACATGTCACATCAAAAATTTTTCACTAAATTCAAAACTCATTTACCAAACAAATTTTTCACACTTAAATCATAATTTTAAAACTTATAAACTCAAAATATAATTTCTATTCTTAAATCATATTTAAAAAACACTACCAAACACGACTCTAATTTTTCCTACCGACGTGCCTTGACATATTTTTCTCCCAAATGTACAAATCTTCAAATGCATTCTTCAGCCTTATTGGGCCCCATAGCGGGTCACACACACCAACAAGGGTGATTGGGTGAAAATATCTATATGCATGCAATAGCAATTGAGGAATTCACAAAAGAACAATGATTCATCCTATAAATTAAGGAACACTACTAATATGAAAAGTAAAAAAAAAAAATACACACACAAAACACAAACATCACACCGGCAATGACAATGATAGCGATCACTAAAATGTAATGTTCTAAATCAATCATTAATGATGTGACATTTATTTTTTTTTTAAAAAAACAAACACAACCCTGTAATAATGGGTGAGATTCACTGCCATATCATTTGTGATGATACTAATTAATACTCACCCACTATTACATCATTAATAATGACAATAATTAATACTCTCACTCATTTTCTAACATCACAATTACAGTAAAACACCCATTAGGTTAGAGCTATTAGAGTTCCATTATTTGAATCAAAAAAAAAAAAAAAAAAATTAGAGTTCCATTATTAGATCCAAAACATTTTTGTTCACAAAACCTAAGTCATCAGAATTTTCTCCCTGGTGTGCCAAAGTCATAAAATATCTCTCTACACGCCGATCTAGCTCTACGTTCTCTCTCCAGATCTGCCGTCGATCCACACCGATCCGCCGCCGTCATAACCAGATCTGAACCACCGATCCTCTCTCTCTCTCTCTCTTTATCTCCGATCGTGAACCACCAATCTGAATCAGATCGTGAACCATTGACTTCGCAGAGAACTCCGTCGCCGGCGGTGGTGTTGATCGGAGGTGCGATGTTGATTTAGATTTGCAAGGTAAGTTCTATTCTAAGTTTTATTAGTGGTTGGAGCACAATGTCTTCTCTCAATCTCCCTTTCTCTCTATTACATATGGAGCACTTTATTTATTTTTCTTCTTATTGTTCAGATTCATTCCTAGCTTTCAGTCGTTAGAACTCTGTAATTTTACTTTGATCATGTCATTCAAATTGAATGTAGATTCTTTGGTTGAGCTTAATTTGAATTATGGTTTGTGAAGATGTTGATCTGTTGCATTTTCTACACTTGTCCATTTTTGGTCCTCTCTCTCTTTTGAACATGTATGTGTGTTTTCCACAATTTATTTATTCAATTCATTTACTAAAAGAAATTAGGTTTTAATGTTTAGCTAATATTTGTTCGGGTCAAGAAATTTGCTTTGGTTTGTGATATGGTGACTAGACCATGTATGATGAAATGCCTCCCCTAAAATGGTGATTTTTTTGAGAAAATTTTGGTATGCAGTGGCTGTAATTTTAATCGATAATGTTCAAAAAAACAGGAACCAGAACAGACATGGGGTGAGAACTTAAAGACAGTGAGAATAGATATTTGCAACTTGTCTAGCAAAATATATAAACAGACATGGGGTGAGAACTTAAAGACAGTGAGAATAGATATTTGCAACTTGTCTAGCAAAATATATAACCAATCTAAACGGAAAAATAGATTTTAAATGGTCAATCCAAATACATGGGATTTGGGAGAAAGACTGTTGAGTTAATGAAAACTAAAAAAATTATAGACCTTGGTTGAAACCCAAGGGCAGAAAATAAATGAAAGGAGAAGGAAGGAAAATATTTATAGTAAGTTAGAGAGAGTGCATTACAGAGGCAGATTTGAAGTGAAAAAGTGGCTTTGACATGGTAGAACATTTCTGATATATTTTCAGCTTATCCACGTAAACAAGCCAATATTATTTCAGATCAACTTGTACAAATATAAAAATTCTCACTTCTATTTCAAATGATAATTGAGTGAAGGTAACATATATTTATTTAATTCATTATTATACTATCAGCTCAAGTTTTTTTCCTAATCACTAAATTTTTGTTTAAATGCCAATGCAGCTTAGACTCAAAATACATGATTGCCATAGGAAATACATCATTCCAAAGTTTGGCAGATTATGGCGCTCACACGAATCTGAACTATCACAAAAAATAAGACCTTTTGGTAAAAGTGCTAAGCTAGCCACAATATTGTCCTCACCAAACCTGATAATGTAGAAATGGTTGAATGGAAAGCATTTGTGAAACAATGAACTTCCAAAGAATTTAAGGTAAGTTTCCTCATAGAAACTCTCTAGTTTTTATGAACTAATTAGACCAACAAATTTTCTCATAGTGATTCAATTATTGATTCAATTATGATTTATTAATCATATAAATTATGACATTCTTCTTTTGTATATGTAGGCAAAGAGTAAAAGATTTAGGGCAATGAGGAAAAAGCAAATCCTCTTACACACCATGAGTCGTAAAGGTTATGCATGATTAGAGGATGAAATGATAAATTTAAGAGTGATTCAAGTAGTTTTTTTCCTTTAGTTATCATTTTTTTTTTCATTTTTTTCTTCAGTCTGATTTACGATTTCAGCTGAAAATTAATTGTGCATTCAGATTGTATTTTGTGTAGAAGTTTCGTGGGATTTTCTCAGTTAGGAACAGGGTTTCTTCGTCCTTTTTTTTTAGGTAATGTATACTATTTTGTTGGACCATTATTTCTTTGTTATTTTTATGTATGGTTTGTTATGCGAAATATTGCTTTAAATTTTTCTCCGTTTGTGGATTTTGCTTTATGTATTGTTTTTATTTTTGTGTATTGTATTGTTTTTATTTTTATGTATTGTATTGTTTGTTCTTATCATTGGGATATTTTATCATGAATGATTGGATTCAAATTTGTTGATGTTAGTATTGCAGAATTATTTGATTTTTGGGATTTGATCTGTTCAACATGTATAAATTTATTTTCTTTTTCATTGTTTTTGTTTTGTATTCAAAAGCTTTTAGATCACAGAAAGGTATTAAAAAAAAAAAAAACAGAAAAATAAATTACCATTGTTGTGATAAATTATGTATTCTTTATATAGTACCTTTAGGTCTTAGACTTTATAATATCTGATTTACTTATTTTTTTAAAAAAATTTGTAGCTGTATATTCATTAATTTAACATGTACTCATTGAAATTTTACTACTGTAGAAATAAGGTTTCGTTTGACATAAAAGTCTGGGCTAAAATAATTATAAAAAAAAAAATTAAGTTAAAAAATTAATAAAACAAAACGTCATACTTAAAGTATAATCATTCTATTTTTTCTTTCACAAAAGTTAAAAAGTTTATTTCAAACGAGATTTTTTAATCTTAAAATTAAAGTAGTTAAAAAATTAGAAAGTTAAAAAATCAATTCACATTTCAAATAAAGGTTAAGTAGTATTTCAAATCAGAAGTGATTGGTAGCTCGAATTTGAGCCCCTCGAATCCCCCCGAATTCAAAAACGACGTCGTTTTCGTCATTTTTGATTTTTTTTTTTTTTTTTTTTAATCATTTCAGTGGCCGTCTTCCTTGACATGGTTGGTGGCCTCCATTCTTGACTTGGTTGGTGGCCTCCTTCCTTGACTTGTGTGTGTTCCCATGGAGAAGAAAAAACATCACCCCCTTCACAAGGGGTGATATCAACAGCTGCGAGGTAGAGGCGGAGGCGACGGCGGGGCTGCGACGAGGCGACGGTGGAGGCGACGGCGGGCGGAGGGGTTGCCATCTCTTCCCCTCTCTTCCTCCTCTTCCCCTTCCTTCTCTTTCTCTCTTCTCTTCTATCTAACTCGGGGGATTCGAGGGGGCTCAAATTCGGGGAAAAAAACATTTCTCATTTCAAATATAGTAAAACAAGGATCCTTTGCGAGGAAAGCACTCATTTCTTTTAGGCCTTGTTTGGCATGATCTAAAAAAACTAAAAAGTGAAAAAGTCACTATTCTATTTAAGTCACATAATCTTATTTAAGTCACATCACCTCTCAAATACATCACTTCAAACTCAATTCATATTTCATAAAAAGTCAAAAAGTACACTTATTTAGATCATCCCAAACAACCCCTTAATTTTGTGGACCATAATGAAAAAAACCTGTAGCAAGTACATATTTTTTTGCCAAAAATACATTGTTATATTTTGGTTTCAGTCACTGCTCTCATATCCATCCAGATAAGACATAAAGGCCTTGTTTGATTTGTTTTTGAAAAATAAATTTTAGAGAAAATTTTTAAAAATTTTATTTGGTTCAGTGATTTTGAAAAAAAAAAAAATTTTAATTATTTTTTCTCTTCTACACATCAATCAATCACTTTTTCTCTGTTCTCTCTCATTCTCAATCACTTTTTGTTTCACACACAGCTACTCAACTACAGCAAAATATCAAATCATCTCAAGCTCCCATACTTCAAAACTATTTTTAAAATATACAACTAAACAAACTAAAAAAATTTATAAATTCTTTTTCCAATTTTTTTTTTTTTTTGAAAATTTATTTTCCAAAACTAAACCAAACACACTCAAAAGCTGCTTGTTGTAGTTAACTTCGTACTCCCACACACTAACAAAAAAAAAAAAAAAATTATACTCTCTCCATTCTAAAATAATAGTTCTTTTTGGGGAGTCTAATTTTTTTGATAGTATAATTATACTTTAAAAATATTAATTTTTCAAAATTATCCTTTGATAGTATATTTTTTAAAAAATATCAATTGTCATAATTGTACTTTTTGTATTGTTAATTAATTTAAAAGAAGGGTAAAATAGAAAATTTATATTATTTCAGTCCTTAATTTTTGAAAAAGAACTAATATTTTGAGATAATAAAAATGGAATAGTTTAATTCACTCTTGCCTATTAAAATTTAATTCATTGTTTTGTTATAAAAGTTTCGTGACTTGCCTAAATTTATTTGCATGTTTTTTGGTGTAATTTGCATGCTAATTGTTTATAATTTCTAGAATTATTTATATACAAGTTAATTGTCCATAATTATGTACATGTTTAGTGTATCATAAGTGCATATATAACTCTTGTCAATTAAAAATTTGTTGACTTTGTATTTGACGATGATGCACAATATAGCAATGTATATCGATTTCTTGTGTTTAAGTCTGCTATTCTAGATATAAACAAGAATACTATCATGGAATCTAAAAATGCATATTTCTTTGAAAATGTATTTCCTTGTCATATCCAAGAAGGGGTTCCGTTCCGAGTTCCATGAAAAAGATTGAAGGTGACAATGATCACATAGGTGAGCCAAGAAGGGGTAAAAGGGCTAGAACCGAAAAGTCCTTTGGTCCGGATTTCTTGACTTATATATTAGAGGGAGAAACTCGAACTTTCCATGAAGTTGTGACTTTATTTAAAAGTCCTTTGTGGAAAGAAGCAATTAAGAGTGAGATTGACTCCATCTTACAAAATTATACTTAGGAGTCGGTTGATCTACCCCCAGGCAGCAAGGCCTTGGGGCGCAAGTGGATCTTTAGAAGAAAGATGAAAGCATATAAATCAATTGATAAGTATAAAGCTAGGCTAATTATCAAAAGATAGAGGTAGCAAGAAGGCCTAGATTACTTTGATACGTATTCACCTATGACAAGGATTACATCCATTCGTATGGTAATTGCGATAGCTACTTTACGTGGTCTGAAGATACATCAGATAAATGTAAAAACAGCTTTTTGAAATGGAGATTTGAATGAAGAAATCTACATGGAGCAACCTGAGGGGTTTTCAGCTCCAGGACAAAATAAGAAAATCTGTAAACTTGTCAAATAATTGTATGGTTTGAAGTAAACTCCTAAGCAAGGGCATGAGAAGTTCGACAACGCTATGTTGTCAAATGGATTTAGAATAGATGAGTGTGACAAGTACGTATATGTTAAAGACACTGGCAGAGGTTATGTCATTTTGTGTCTATACATAGATGCTATACTCATTGTTGGTAGTAATAATGACATGATTAGAACTACCAAGAGATTGTTAAACTTTAAGTTTGACATGAAAGATATGGGCCTTGCAAATGTAATTCTAGGTATTAAGATTATCAGAACATTTAGTGGTATTGTACTTTTTCAGTCTCACTATGTTGAGAAGATATTTAAGAAATTTGGTAAATCAGATACAAATGTGTCTAGGACACCGGTAGATGTGAGTCTACATTTGATTAAGAATAATGGTGAGAGTGTCTCTCAACTAGAATATTCTCGGGTCATTGGAAGTTTGATGTATTTGATGAGTTGTACAAGGCCATATATAACCTACTATGTTAACAGGCTTAGTAGATACACGGGTAATCCAAATGCTACTCATTGAAGGGGCATTATGCGGGTGTTAGGTTATCTACGCTACACCAGGGATTATGAACTGCATTATACCAGATACACAACGGTACTAGAAAGGTATAGTGACGCTATTTGAATATTTGATCTAAAGGATTCCAAATCCACTAGTGGTTATATGTTTATCCTCGGAGGGGCAGTCGTGTCTTGGAAATCTTCCAAGCAAATGTGTATATCGTGATCAATGATGGAAACTGAGTTATTGCTTTAGATAAAGCAACTGAAGAAGTTGAATGGCTTCACCAGTTTGTTGAGGATATTCCACATTGATCGAGGCCAGTGCCTACTATCTGTATTCATTGTGATAGCCAATCGGCGATTGGACAGGCACAGAATCATATGTATAATGGAAAGTCTAGACATATCCATCGTAGACATAATTCCACACGACAACTACTCTCTAATGGCGTTGTCTCTCTAGACTATGTAAAGTCTAAAGATAACATTGCGGATCCGCTAACCAAAGGGTTAACTCGAGAGTTAGTAGAAATGTCGTCAAGAGGAATAGGGTTAAGGCCTTTAGTAATGTTACCGAAATGGAAAACCCAACCTAGTTGACTGGAGATCACAAGATCTAGGTTCAAAAGGACAACCTAATTTCGTATAACTGGAGTCACTGAAGAGGTAAATCCTTTTGGCCATTCTTTTATACAGTGATATCATGTGAGGGTGGAAGGTTAAGCTAATGCTTTTAATGACCTAAGTGATATGAATAATCAACCATGGTATTAGTGTGAAGTGGGGTCGCTTCTTTAAAAATTGGTAAGGTCGAATTCTTTAAATACACTCACTGAACCAGACTAGTATTCCAAGGGCACACCAGACACACTAGTGAGAACAAGAACAATGGTTGGACTAACTCCTATGTGAGGTCTATTATCTCGGTTTATACAAACGGCAGAACAGTTCAAGGCATCATGTTCACTGGTCAGCCAGTAAATCCGATAGACTTTTACTACGAAAGGTTCAAGGCCAACATCTACTTTTTCTAATGCAGGGTTAGTTTATGTACTCTCTTTCCGAGTCTTTGTTGTAAACGTTGTCCCCCTTTTTTTTATTAGGTCAATTTTTATTCATGGGGGAGATTGTTGGGAAAAAAATAGTTTTATGTGACTTTAATGTGAAATTAAAGTAGGTCCCAACCATTGGTTGATGTGGGATTAAATGGGTTTAGATCCTTTGTAACAAGGTCTTTATACTACAAAAAGAATGACAAAAAACCATTGAGAATTAAATGAGAAATTGTCTCATAGAGATGGCATCATGAATGATGTATTGGGAATTATGTATAACTATTAATCCCACATTAATTGTAGATGAAAACTTTGATGGGTATTTAAATCTTAAGATTTTGATAAGGGCATGAGCCCTTTGGGGTATCCAAATTTTTCGAAGGAAGGGAGT